TTGTGTTGTTAAGATATGTTTTTCATTGTATTTGGTGAATTATTGTTTGTAGTGATCTTTATCCTTCTTGCATGTGTTTTTCAAGAAATGTACAGTTGTGTTTTTATGCAGAAACAGACACCTAAACAGATGATTAAAGCTTATGCAAAACATCACTGTGTGAAACACTGCAAAGGATCTATTAAGACAACTCCAGATATATTTTGTTGAACCACTTATGCCATGTGGTGCAGATTAGGTGGCTGCAGTGGTTAGCGCTGAGGCCTCACAGCAAGAAGGTTCCTGGTTCAAGTCCCCGTCAGGCAAGGCCTTTTGTGTGTGGAGTTTGAATGCCCTCCCTGTGTATGTGTTGGTTCTCTCCGGGTACTCCGGCTTCCTCCCACAGTCCAAAGACAAGGGCCGTATCCGAATTGCCAAGTACATACTCAGTCTTTCAGTATGCAGTAGGCAGTATGCAGTACGTACTATCCGTGCTGCATACTGTTAGTACCTACTATTCAGTATGCTCACACAGTAGGCAGATATTTGTGCCTACTTCTTCTGATTCATTCAGTATGGAAGTGACGTCATTTACGTTACCCGAACCGGTCGCATCCACCCGTTTTTTTGTTTAGCTTTATTCAAGAAGAGTAATGCGCATATACAGTCAGGTAAACAAAAAACAATATCACAATGTAAATCAAGTAAAATGCAGATTGAATAACTAAATAACATACAGTACATAAAGAACAGTACAAATGAAAGACAGTAATATACAGAATATAAAATAAACTAATAAAGACGCATTTAAATAGTGAAATCATTATTTAAATAGAGGGGGAAAGGTTTTAGAATAATGCAGACATTTGTTATATTTTCTGTTGTTAATTTAAAGTAGTGATTTCAGTCGGGACTTTAACTCTAGATTAAAAATTGATTAAATTACTCCACGCTTGTTTGTTTTGATTTGGAGGCGGACGTGAAGTGACGATTTACGTTTAATTTCGCACAGCATTGTGGGTGGTAAAACACAATTAATTTCCTGAAAGCACGCATCCGATCCATACTGCATAAAACCCGGAAGTTAGTATCCATACTGTAATGTTCAGTATACTGAGGTGGACCCACGAAATGCTTACTGAATGACCACGGAAATTCAGTATACTGAAACTCCATACTGAATAGTACGTACTGCCTACTGAACTGTGACAATTCGGAAAGGGCCAAGCTTGTTAGGTTAATTGGTGACTCTAAATTGCCCGCAGGTGTGAATGTGAGTGTGGCTGGTTGTCTGTCTCTATATGTCAGCCCTGTGATTGACTGGCGACCAGTCCAAGGTGTTCCCCACCTCTCGCCCAATGAAAGCTGGGATTGGCAACAGCCGGGGCCCCCGAACGGGATAATGGATAAGATAATGATATGATATGAAATTATAACATGATATGATAATGGATGGATGGATTACAGAATAGGTTACAAAAATATGATGGATTCCCTTGGAAGTCATCATCACTGCTCATTCTGATCTTTTCTGCCTTTCACTCAGCAGTTTAAACATTTGTTCGTAGCATATTTGAGCTCATTTAAAATACATGCCTCTTGTTAATAAATTCTTTGAGTATCATGTCTCACCTAAGCAATCAGCATAGTGTGATAATTCTTTACTTGACCAATGTTTGCATGGTTACACAGCAGAGTAGATGAAACCTGTATTTTTTACACAAAGAAATATTTAACATTTTTTAAACAAGCTATCCTCTAATATGAGCTGACTGGATCAATTGTCAAATGGCTACTTAATATATTGTGTGTGTATTATTAAGAACAACTCCAGAGAAGAACACATAGCCACAATTGGTTATCGGAAAGTTTCAGTTAAAACAAATACTGGAGGAATGGAGAACTTGATATCATAATGCATTCAAAAGTCTGTGAGAGCCTCTTTCCCGCTGCCCCCTCTTTGGGACATACTATTAAATTACTTAATTTTTTAGCTTGAGAAAATAAGCTGTCTCTGCTTAAATGATAAAAGTGATAAACTACAGCATTCAGTGCCTGTATGACTCGACCTTGGATCAGGTTACCAAAGCAGTGCTGTTTGCCTGCCATACAGTGATTCAAACCAGGTTTCTGTTTCCCCAAGGGAGACCTACAGTTTACACAGAATGCATTACTGAGGCAAAGCAATGCTATGTGTTCCATTATTACAATTTTACCCAGCTGCTATCCATGTGTTTCACACTTGTCACTAGTCGCCATTAATTTTAGTTCGAGACAGCGTTTACCTGGATCATATTTCTTTTGGTGGTCCAGCTCGATGTTGGACTGAATCTGACCTGAAATACCTCAATAGCCATTTGAAAGGGTTTCCTTTAAATGAATGAGTACAGTGGTCTGATGATGTAAAGCTGTCGTCAAGTCAGTCTGGCAAAGACACCACAACAACTGATACTGTCAGTAATTTGGGTGTGGATTGAAGTGAGCTTGCACCGTGTACACATGATTGCGCAATGATTTGAGTGCTAATTACAGAGGAGCGTTATCCCTACATGATTTTATGTTGCCACTAACTACTGTACAGTAGGTTCATGTGGTGTGGAAAACTGCTAACTCATGCATGGATGAGCCCAACTAGTCTCTGTCATCTCTGCACAGGCTGCAGATGTGGTCATAGACTAGTAACAGATTGGTACTTGAATATTATAATTTTTTTTTAAAACAAGAACATTAGACCATTTAGCATGTATGTGTGATGTCACTTGATGTTCAGCATGTGGAAACTCAACTTTTGAGTAGCATCATGTAAAAATTGTGTGTTAAAGAATAGAAATACAAAATGTATACAGCTCAGAAAATGTCCCCAATTAAAGGCTTATTTTAAGGGCCAAGTGAATGCATATCTTCAAATGTAGCATACACCTAAAGTCCAGTCCATTGGGCTTCTCAAAATGGCAACATCTACTAAAGACATATAAAGATAAAACAAGATAAAAACTTAATTCAGCCTTTATTAAGGAAATTTCCCCTATGAATTTATTTTTTTGTATTTGCTATTTGACTTTTGTCCCCTGTTCCTGAAGAGCACCTGATTTCTCTACATTTTTTTGACCCAGTGCAGCACTCACTTCTAGATACCAGATAAAACAGGTCTCATTGAATCCAGTGACTTTTATGGCATAGATGAAAGTCGTAGTTCATCAGTTACAAGTTTGTGTTGCCCCTTTGTGTATGTTTTAGTTCACACCAAAACCCAGATAGGTCTTAGTAGATCTTCAACAGGGCAGCCTAACTCTCTCAGCAAATCAGTTAAGTCCGCAGCAAGGACCAATTAGACCTCTATCAGTGTTCAGTTAATTGTCTGCTTCGAGCTCTGTGATGTTGTAACACCTTTTGTGTTGGGACTCTGCCGGAAAGAGAAAATTGACTCATCCAGGCACGGAGGAATCAGTTGTGGTTGTGAAAAATAACCTCTACTTTCTATGTCTACATCATACATAACTGAAGGTGGGTTGTCTGTGAGAGTGAGTAGTCATTCTGTGGTCGTTACATCATCTGTTGTTTAAGCACTCTGTATGTCCTGGTTGCTATCATTAAGCAGAAGGGTTGTATTTCTGTGCAGCATCTGCAGCTGCAACTTACAGTAAAGATTCAGAGGCCAAACTATTTACTGGTATGCGATGTGTTAATGCACTTAAATTTAAGTTTTCATCAAAAATGATGCATATGTGCGAGCCCTGTCCTGTACCCAGGCTTGTGTGCTGTTTAGAGCAATAGGGAACTTCCTTCTTTCTTTTTTTGTGCACTTCAATTTAATTAGAACATGTTTGATAACATTAATAAGGGCCTGTACTGTCTTCCATGTTAATCTCAACTAAAACATTGTTTTTTTTCTTTGAGCTCTTTTATGATGTTAAATCAACACATATAGACCATAACTCATATCTCGATATTGTTTCGCTGAATGGCGATACTTGATATCGATATGTCTTTCAGTCAGTTGCACAAGCTCAACATGTACATGGACAATAAACTACCTGTTTGTGAAATTAAAGTTGATTATTATAAAATGAAAATTATCCTTAAATACAATAATACATGTAATTTTCTGTATAACCAAATAAACACAGCTATGTGTTGTTATTTTTATTTTTTTAGTTTGGCTCAGAGAGGGAGAGAGAAGGTGAAGAGTGACACAGTGACATGAGAAATAGGTGAACTGGCAGCTCTACAGGAGATACGTATAACGTTATTTTAATGCAACATAAACTATCGATATTTAGGATATTGTCTTACCCTATATCTTATTTGAAAATATATCGATATATCTTAAAAATTTGATATATCGCCCAGCCCTAATCAACACAACACTTGTGTAAACAGAAATACATTTATTTCGATGTAGACCTGAATGTTTGAGGTTTTTCAGAAATACCGCAACACATTTGGACCATCTCCAGCCTTCTACATAAAAAAATTGACTGATTAGAGATGTAAACTTGATTGTTGCTCAGAGCTGTTGTGATATTGTCATTTTAAATGTGTTATCTTACAGTGTCAGACTTCACATCTGATTAGGCTTCTCATACTTCTGAAACACTTGTTGTGTACTTATTGTAAACACTTGGTAAGTCAAACATGGAGGATCTCTCTCTGATGTGGTTTGAGACTGTGTTTGATAAATCAAATATTTTGTTTCCATTTTAAAATGCTCGCTCAGATTTGCTATGACTCATTTGTTTAAGAAAGCTGCAGTGCTTTTTTAGAAACATTTTAATATCCGGGATCCCCTATTGTCTTTTTGCAAGTACTCTGCTTAAGCTTACAGTTTATTGGCTTATGGTAGTTTATAGTTCAATGTAGAGTCAGTCCTCTTTATTACTCTTAAATTATACAGACACATGTTTTTGCTCTGACCTTTGACACTCCTTTTTATCGTGGTCCAGTGTAAATGACTACTTTATAAGTGTGGTGCGTAAAAGATAAAGTAACTGTCACTGATTATCAGTCGCTTTTGTTTTCAGGTGCTGCGTGGTGAGAGGGAAGCAGTGAGTGCGGCATGCTGAGGCCACTCCCCCTGGCTCAGGATGAGTGTCAGAGATGGCGCTGCCACCATGGCAACGAATGCAGGTGGAGGAGGGGGGGGAGGTGGGCCAGCTAGCCCTAACGACCATGATGGCCGCTCGTACATGCTTCAGATCTACACACGGCTTGCAGCACAATCCTCCGCCTGCTGCAGCCTAAGGTGAGTTTACCCCAGGCACACGGTTAGAAAATTGAAGAATCAGCCATTTATGTGCTGATATGGTGTTTTGAAGTGGTCAGTAGTTTATTGTATTTTTACCCAGCAATTATCAAAATAAATGGTTCTATTTATTCTACTCATCAGGGTGCATAAGGATGCAACAGCAGCCTCTGTGATCTCAGATGCTGCCATGGCACTGGGGCTGGACCCTGGCCGCATGTATGTGCTGGCAGAGGTAAAGGAATGTGGCGGGGAAGAGTGGGTGCTAGAGGCCGGAGACCTTCCAGCACAGAGGTTTCTGCTGTGGCCCCGGAAAGCCCAGGAGCAACACCCTCAGAGCCTCGGCTTTTACTTCCTACTACAGGTAGAGTCAAAAGTTCACTTTGAATGTCAGACTTCCTTGATGTGGACAGTTGTGAACAGCCTCTGCTACATTGTGCTTCCTCTTTGTGGCCATTTCAAGGAAGAAACAAAAACATCTAGTTAATCTTGATAACAAATAGCTAACTAATGATTGAAAAATGTATTCAAAAAGGCATTGAAAATCAAATATTTTTTACACATGTGAAATGAAAGCATTATAGGCTTGCCTTTACTAATGTGGTGTTTGTTTAAATGTCATCCAAGCAACAAAATTAGATCCCCCCCCCAGTTTCATCAGTAAGCTGTTGAGATAAGTTAGTCACTAATCTTATTTTCTCTTTCTTTACCCATCCAGGAGAGGAACCATGATGGCTCTATCCATTACGTTCATCTCCCATCTGTGTCTAAGGAGCAGGAGGTGCAGCGGCTAGCCGCCAGGGGCTTCCTCCCCCCTCCGCAGGACGACTTTGCAGACCTCTGCAACCTTCCCATCCTCAATGAGGACAGCATATTAAACAACCTGCGCACACGCTTTTACAAGAAAAAGATCTACACCTATGCAGGCAGCATCCTCATCGCCATCAACCCCTTCAAGTTCCTGCCCATCTACAACCCCAAGTATGTGAAGATGTATGAGAACCACCAGCTGGGCAAACTGGAGCCTCACATTTTTGCTATCGCAGATGTGGCATACTATGCTATGCTCAGAAAGAGGGTCAACCAGTGTATCGTCATCTCTGGCGAAAGTGGCTCAGGCAAGACCCAGAGCACCAACTTCCTGATCCACTGTCTGACTGCACTCAGCCAGAAGGGCTACGCCAGCGGAGTGGAGAGGACAATACTGGGAGCTGGACCGGTCTTAGAAGTAAGTAATTAATGTTTGTGACATCTGGACTGGATTTTTAGTTTGTTTGTATGTACTTTAACCCTTGTGATAAAGCAATGCTCTTAACTATACTTAACCCACTCTGGCTGAGGAATCAGCTTGATGCTCATGAAGAGATGAGAGATAAAGCCTTCAGTTTAGTGGCAGCCTTGTTTTATGGCAAAAAAAAAAAAAAAAAGACGAATTAAAGATACTGTAGATGGTGTTAGTGATCCTCTATATTGGTTATTAGCTCTAAACTTCAATCAGATATTGTAATTCACACGTTTATTTTCATTTGATAAGGTCTCATCATGTTGTCATGGCTTGCAATGGTACCTACGCACAAACCCCAAGGATATAGAGTAGACTGAGTAATATTTTGAGATTCTGTTATGGGACAATACATTTCTCTAGATTAGTTGTTATAAATGATAAATCTTCCAGTGAAAGTATCAGATCACATGCAGCACGGAGCATATGTATTTCCAGGCTGTTTCTTTGTGGGGGAGCTGAGCTAATAGGCCATATGGTTGTCTGTGTGCAATGTTAAAGACTTTAACATTAGGACAATGTTTTACCCAGAAAGAAGAAATGAAAAAAAGAATGGGAAGTTGCTCCATTAACCCTTCATGAGGCCCTCAGCCTTTTGGATAACACAAAAGCTTGGGCTGTTTGTCAGTGTTGTATCACAGCCTTCATCTGAGCAAACTCTGATGCTTTTTGTTTGTTCCCAATGAATGTGCACTACTCATTATGTAATGTGTATATGGGTAAGAATAATGTGACTTTAATTCACTGCTTTTTTTGTTGTTGTTTCAGTCAGGTGACTGTGCTCTTCTTCCTGCTTTCTACTTTCTGAGAAAATAGATTCTTGTTCTGACTTGTTTTGTTCAGCCGCTGAAAACACAAAATGAACTGAAACTACAGCCGCAGTGACACAGAAAGCTTTATGTAGGTTATAGATGTTGACAGCTAGAGGTAGAATATCTTTCAATAAATTGTGAAAACATAGCCACAGTATTTTTCCATTATTCATTTGTTTCTGTATAAGTTGAACTGGTTGATCACAGATGACAGAGGGTGCACAGGGCTCAGGTCTCTGACTTTCGACAGACAGTCCCCTGAGTCATAAGAGCAGGCAGAGCTGACAAAGCACAGCAGTTTTTCCCCTACCATTACATTGAGGGGGCGGCCACTCATAGATTTCCCTTCAAAACAAGCATTTTCTGATTGACAGTAAATCAAACAAAGACTTAGTTGGTTACCCATTCTCTGAGCAGTTTATACTTGATCGGGGTTTTTTTCAGTCGGTGGTCAAAAAGCAGGATGAATGACTGTATTCTCACGGACATTTTGAGGCAGTGGTGTCACCAGTGTTTGCAGGTGTCTGTGTGTTGGGCCACTCGGTATTTTTATGCTGCTGACAGTTAAAGCGACAGACAGCCGTTTGAATGCAAACTACAGTCTCTGTGTTTTGTTGACAAAAGAGCCACATACAAATGCATGCAGACAAGTATACATCTGTTTGCTTTTACATTGTTCTACAGAGTAAGAAAGGTTGTTTCATGAAAGGGAAATGATTACACCGCCTTGTTTTTGTTCAAGTGTTATCCCTAAACTACACGTCAAACAAATATAGTTGACTTCATTTTGTGTACTTTTCATTTCTGTTGTGAGAAACCGAATCTACTCTACTTTCACATATGGAACAATTTACCTCTGGTCAGACCTTATTAATATGAAATGTTTTTTAGTTTCCACATTCTTCCCAGTCTCATGCATGCCTTATTCTAAACACTGTGGTAATATACAGTATAATGCTGTGATCATGTGTTTTGTGTGTACAGGGGGGCTTTAGTGTGAAACCCAAAATTGAATTATGTTTTAAAGTTGTTGCTGTCAGCGATAAAAGTTTGACGTGTTTTTGTGATGTTTTGAAGAACAAGAGGACATTATAAAATGTTAAATTACGTTCTACCTGGGACTGCAGAGTAAATATACGGAGAACTCCCTTATCTCTGCACAGAATACCATGTAGGCAAAAAGCAGAAATCTCAGTACTTGGTCTCAGTCTAAGGGCGCAGTCTGGCCATCTGTACCGTGCCCAAGCACGCTTCAACCCAAAAGTCCAGTTTGTTTGGCCAGTGTGACCGCTCGACTGCGTGTCTCTCTCTCTCTCTCTCTCTCTCTCTCTCTCTCTCTCTATCTCTCTCTCTATCGCTCTCTCCGCCTGTTTGTCAATTGAGCAAGCGTCATGATAACGTAAAGCATACATGTGCTGTATTACGACGTTATGTGCAAGAGGTAATCGTGCTTCTGATGTTTTATTACCCAGTAGCAGGGCTAAAAATAACATTTCACCAGGAAAAAAATGTATGTGGAATGTGGTTGATCAAAGCACAAAACGTGGCTGAAAGATGAAAATCCCCTAATCGGTTAAACTAAGGTCACTGGAACACAAACAACGTGGAATATAACAAGGCTAAACAAAGCCTCGGTGTATCCATCCATCATTATTCATGCCTCTGTCATCTCCAGACCCTCTGACTCAGGACTCTATATCCTTCACTCACAGAACTACTGCCTCTAATGCATCTGAATGAATGCAGCGTTGGTCCCTTGATGTGTGTCAGTCTGTCAGAGTCTTTGGTTCTGGACGGTTGATTAAGGAACTCTGGTGCAGTAGGGTGGAGAGATGTTTTCCTCCTACATCAGCAGAGTTCTGGTCCCTTTGGCAGACATGCTGCCACTCTGCTGTCGACTCCCAGAATGCAGTTTGTGTGTGAGTGTGTGTTAACCCAGCTCAGAGCTGTGGTTTGCAGGGGGCAGACAGGGAGACGGGTTCAGCCTTTTCTGGCCTGGTCTGAGGAAGTTGTAGTCCATCTGTGACCATTCTGTCAATCAACCTGGCTATTAAGCAGCTGTACACTTCCCTTTGGCAGCATTGTAGCATCTAAATTTGTATTTTACCAACGAAACTTCAAACAAAGGCAGAGGCAGCTGCTTTAAAGTTATTTTTTCATTCTAAGCAACCCTTTGAGTTAGTTTATGTGAAAGAGATTCTCTTTTGACAACCGACCAGCTTCTGCAGAATGCTCGTAAGATGGCTGACATGAGACAGAAATTACTTTAAAGAGGAAGCAATAACTTATCGAAAAATGATGTCCCGGCAGTTTCTTTTCATTCAAATAATCTGTGTCTCGAGGTCTCTTTCCTGCAGTAAAGAGCTTATAAAGAGTGAACAATTCTTTTTTTAGATACGCTGAGTATAATGAAAGATTTTCTTTTTTTGATAAAGGCATTTTATTGGTTGTTTTTTTCCCCCCTCAGAGCTGGTCGGGTTACACTAGTGGAAAATGTGTGTGTGTCCTGAAGCTATAGGGGAGGTCTTCAGGCCCGGGTCACGCATTTCGAGGAGATGAGATCATTATTTGTGGTGCTGGATTCTGAATGTGTGCTGTTTTGCATGCAGAATGGAAGGCCCAATCCTGAAGCAATGAAAGAAAGCTGCTGTCCTGCTTTAGTTCATTCTACCTCGTCTCTCTATTTGATCCTTTTCCTTTAACTCACCTTCTTTGTCTTGTATTAATGCAGGTACAGAAGAGATAATACTTATAGCAGTTGAACCAAGTAGGCTTCTACTGACAAAACAGCTCACCCACTGAATGAGGATTTCAGTTCTAAACTGGTCAGACTGGTTGCTCCTCTGTACTGTTTTTTTTTTCTGCCAGGCTTTAAAGCCTTTTTCTTCTACATTTCAAAACGGCCATCCATTGTTGTAAAGAGACAACTGAAATAAAGTAGGAATTTGGCAATAAGTCTGAATTTTGTGTAATAAAACTCAAAAAACTTTTTGTAATAGGGTTTAAAACACTTGAGACTTCCATCCACATGGAACTCTGAATGCAGTTAACATGAAATTTGTTACAACCATGTAGAAGCTGAACTTAAGAAAACTTTCATTAGGATTTGATAATAGGATAAATGTCTAAAAATATTTTATACATGTCACTCTGGTTCACACAGAAGTATAAATATGATGTATTATCTTTTATTATTGAATGTTGAATATTGAGATAAAGCATTGATTCAAACTTTCTGGGTCTTCCAGAGATAAAAATGGACATGTTTTTCCCACTGTTCAAGAGGCTGTTTTTGATCAGAAGCAGTCTGATACTATGGATGGGAATCACAAGGCGATCTCATAATTCGATACGATAACGATACCATAGGTGGCCCACAAGAACGATGGTATGAAGATACAGTGATTCTTTGATGATTTCATTGAAATGAAAGACAATCACTTACTGATACATCACGGTATCTGATTCACTGAATAATGAAAAATGCCCCTAAAAGGTGAAGTGCAGCATTTATACGTTGCTGCAATGTCAATTTCACGTCTTGTTTCTTCTTTGAACTTGTTTTCAAAACTCTCTGACTTTACTCTCCTTTCTTATTCTTTTATCTCGCTTTCGTCTTTGTTTTTGGCCAATTCACTTGGCAGGGAAAAACGGTTGCCATATTTTTTGTAGATTGAAATATTGATACCTGTCAACAAAAAAACTATTAGAGTTTTTTTTGTGAGGAAAACAACATACAGACCAGTCACTGAGCCTAATTGAACAAAAGCCAAACCTCGTAGTCCTTAACGAAGTCCTCTCAAAGTCCCCAGTCTCCTCCATGCCCAACTCCGTCTCAAAACTTCAGACGGGAAGTTCCTATCATCCGGAAACTTTTAACAGGAAGCAGCTACGACACAGTTAACTGTAGGCCTTTAGGGGCGTGGATGTAGCAAAGTACTGTATTGTTGTTCAGGAAATGCAGAGGAGTAGCTGGCCATTCTCTCCGCTGATCCATTGTTTATCTCTTAGTTATGGGTTGCACCTCTTTATTCCTCGGCTATATTTGGTCAAGCTGGGTGGCATTGTTTTGAGTCTGGGAAAAGCTGGCATTACTGTGTTTAAGTTTCTGCGTCATACACACGCGTCTTTGAT